ATGGTAAATTCTACAAATGGCTGGATTTTGTTCATGAATTTAACAGAAGTATAAGATCTTTTTACTTTTCTATTTAAAACTATAAAAATATCATCTATATAGCGCTAAAATAATTCTTTTTTGTTGTCTTTTCTAATTCTGCTTTTGCTTCACACGATCACTCATGAATGAAACAACCACTAGGGGTACCAAAGTTCTGCATATACCTACTCCATTTGTTTGATCATAGTTTTCATCGTACAAAATATTAAAGAGTTCATTTTAAAAACTCTAATGACTTTTTGTAAGGTCAGGATAATATTCTCTTATATTTTTCTAATCTCAATAGATATAGTTTTTTCAAAGACACGTTTTGTATATAAAGTCCAGACATCTAGTGATCATATCAATTCACAAATATCTTTATTCAGCCGAGTTTTATCGATAAAATCAAATAAATCTTTAATGTAAATTATAGTTTTAGATGGAGTTCGATCTAGTAGATTTGCTAAGAGGTATGGAAAAAACTTCTCAGACATTTTCCTATCGACGTATCTTTACAACTGCTTCAGCGATTTCAACAAAGTAATAGTCATTTTAAAGAATATTTAAAAGGGAACCTATAGCATAAAAATAAAGATTCCAACTCAAATGCATTTGAATCTCAAAAACTATTCTTTAATTTTAAATGGTTAGAAATTAAAACAGATTTCGTTCGTCTTGTAAAAATAATTTTCACGGTTTCATAGAAGTCATAGTAGCCATCATTTTACTTGGTTCTTTGAGTTAGTCCACAAAAATCGAATTCATTGTTATTTAACAAGGTAATTTTGACAATTTCTTACAAAATAATAAATGTCTTACACCAACGCTTCTCTTCTCTTTTCATGACATCTCATTTACAAATGTATGACAAATATAAATGATGCAGTTTTTGAAAGAAGAGAAAATATTCTTTTTAAAACATAATTAAAGAGTTATTAAGGGAATAGGCATCACCATTTTTCGAAATCTCATAAAAGTCTGGGTTCTTTTAAAGCAGTGCTTCTCTTTCGTGTTGTGTCTTGTTCTTTATGAACTTGTTATTAAAAGAAGTTGTGTAAGAACGGAAAGAGGAAAACAAAGATTTTCTTGCAGCACCATTAAATTGAAGAGAAATAGAGAGCAACATTTTCTGTCATTATTTTTGCACCTTACATTATGAGACAAATACTTCTGAGAAATGTTTAATGATATAGTCACGTGTATATCTTTATTATTTCTCAAGTTAGAACCTTTCTTTTTGCACAATAAGTATACCTTTAAATGCTGTCTAAAAGTATTTTTTTTCTTTGTTGAAATTATTAAAGTGATTACCAATATATATTCATAGGAAATTTTCAGACAACTTTTCCATATATTATCTACCCGTATTACAGCGTGTCGGTGTGGATGTCGAACTGCCTTGTCTTTGATTGAAGCCTTAGCGACGCCTATACTTTAAACCGATATTTTTTGCATTTTTTAATAACTACTCTGTTTAAATGTTTTTCGTTTTTCTAATATATGTAAGCATTTAGTGCAGTTATTATAAGTAAATCCTCCGATATATCGAACAAAAATCCGAAGTATCTTTTGGCAAAATTAGTAAACTATCGTACCGACTCTGTTAGCTTTTTAGGAATACAATGAACAACACCACAACAAATGCCATAAATAGCATCGAAGGAATGCTGTCAAACATTTCCAATCAACTAACTATCTGGGGCGGCTTGTTTCTTTTGTTTTTTGGTAATATAAATTGTGTCGCAAATATGATGGTATTTCGATCACAAATGTTTCGTAAACAAGCTTGTTTCATCTATTTATTTTGGGAATCAGTTGCCAACTTCGTTTTTCTGAATTGTATCCTCACCACACGGGTGTTGCAATCCGGTTTTCAAATCCCTCTTATGACACGTTATGATGTGCTCTGCAAAATTCGAGAATTCATCTCAGAATACATATTCCAGATTGGCAACACGTTATTTATATGTGCTACAGTTGATCGGCTTTTATCGACACAACGTTCAATCAGTAAGTGCTAGTAGCTACGAAAGCAATACTCTGTCTGACACAAACATTCGAACACTAGACATATGTATGGGTTTACATTTATGCTGCAGATAAGAGAATCAGGAATATAATGCGATATCAATCTGTTTTAGTTTTTTATCGAAACTCTTAGCTGAAAGTAGGAATGACATTAACTTTATGCATAGTTTCCAAAGATGTTGAAGCGCCTAGATTGAGCCAAACTGGTCTGACTGGTATTGTTTCCATGGTTGTTCTAGTGGTTTCAATTATCTTATATAGTACTGATTAGTATTTTGATAATAGTGTCGAAGTCAACAGAAGTACAGATATAGGTGATATGAGAAAAGGTTAGTGAAAGTTCTTGTTTCGTATAAAGTTACCAAAAGCGTTCAAGTACCTAGCAGTACAGCTTTGTGACAGATCGCAACAATATTCTGTTATATTATAGAACTTCGTCAATGGAGCAATCGTGTTTCTCTTGCTTACAAGCTAATAGTGGCATGTGCACTCTTATGGTTAGTCGTCTTGGGTCATCGATTAGTATGTTACACTAATTCAAATGGATACTGTGGAGCTCAAACAGGCCCATATGCTCTTTTTGATACTTATCTTGAAGCATTTCTATCAGGAGTGTGTTCGCCTCTTAGTGTGATCGTACTCGCATTTTTGCTTTTAAACAGTGTTCGAAACGCCATGAAACGACGTGTGATGCCTGGTGTTGCTGTTTCAACAGAACGCAGGACAAATCTCTCACAGTTTCAACAGATCGATTCGCAGTTGACACGAATGCTTTTTTTGGAATCCATCATTGCGATCATTGCGTATATTCCCTATGGAACTGCAGTTCTCTATTTCAACATTACTGACAAGTGGGCTAAATCAACTTTGCGACAGGCTTGGGAAGAAGTCATTGGTAACATCATCCGTCTCTGTTCTTATCTGTTTGCCGCATCTGGTTTTTATGTATCGATGATTTCGAATCATGGCTTTCGAGAACAATTTCTGCGTTTCTTTGGAATAAAAAAAATTATTCATCCCCAGAAAGGCACAAGAACCACCGTTAATCCTTTAACTACTCGTATTGCTAAATAAAACTCAATGGCTATCTTCAGAAGGATGTATAGGTCTGGGTTTCGATGAACGGAAGTTATAATTCTGCAATCATGTCGTGATTTAACAAACAACAGATCATTCTAGCATTTCTTTTTCGATCTTCATTATATAATATTAATTCCCTTTTTGTTTCTCAATAAACTATTTAGTCTCTTTCTTTTGTTCGGAAAGACGATTTTTATTTAACTGGGGCATGATCAGTTTGTTGTAAAAACAATATAAACAAGAGACATCGGATAGTGAATCATAAGCAAAATACGTCAGGTTCTTGGACAGAGAGGTATAATTAAATTAATTAGTTTATTAATTAAACGAATGGATGTCATCTACTCGAACAAGTTCGAACCTGAAAAATATAACGATTCATGATCATCTGCTAAAAGTGAAAACAACACCAATGGAGGGTGTTGGTGTAAACGTGAGATATAGCTCTTCATGTTGGTGTGGGTACAGATGTCATGGAAGCGGTTGAACCTTCACCTCTACACCCACCTCTCCCAGCTGTCACTGAAACGGTCACTCAATGTTTTTGAACCTGTTGAACATATGTTTGACGCCAGAAACATCGACAACAACTTACCTGCTTACTTTCCTGATTGGGGATAAAGTATTGCACAGATGTGCTTTAAGACACGGAACATGAGCAAAATTATGATTTAGTTTTTCGATATCAGTTACAAAGTTTTATACAGGATATGTTATGTGTGTTGCTTAAGATTATCTTGTCTCCCCTAAAAACAAATGATCTTAACCAAGCTCTATGCAAAAGGCACGACATTTTTAGAACACATTCAGCATATAGTGAAGAGCCTATCGCAAAACTTTCAGGGTGTGGGTAAGTGTGGGTATTGATGTTGCTCAATGCAGAATACAACCCTGATACCCACCCACACTCACACCCTTGAGATGACATTTTTGAGAGCTACATAATATCCCAGATTGAAAAGTAAGGGTCGGTTCCTGTAGGAAAACACCAGAAACAGACAAAACATGGAAGCAGGAATCCGATAGTCAGTTTTCCAGTAGCATTTGGGAAAATCTGGTGCCTTTTTCTAATTTTCGGCGATTTTCAGGCCGAAGATGTTGCGTTCCTTTAAGCTTTCTGCTGGAAAATTCACTAATTCCAAACAGTGGAGTCATCGACTGGGGATTAACTCTAGATCCTTTATGAAACTATAGAATCTTTCTGTAGAATTTCGCGAAAAAACCATCGATTTAGTTTTCATTACTAACCTGCTAGAATACCAATACATATAAGAGAAGAAATTCTCTTATAGCTGAATGGGAAGTTCAAAGTCAACTATATGCTCTAGAGTCATATCCTAAAACGTTTAGATTCATTTTTGCAAATGGTTAGAGAAATATAAATTGGTTAATTAATTTAAGTAAGTGTCAACTGAACCCTACAAGTGCTGATAAAAATACACACTAAAAAAGCAATATTGCTTATCATATATATGATCTATTAGACAAAGGAGAAAAAGAAATAACTTAACATTGTTTCAATCATATACATTTATTCATTATTAGTTTTGCCTATAGAACAATGTGTATTTGTTTTCATTGACGACAACGACCATAGAGTACAGACGAATATTATGTACGCATATAAATATTGATCTTCATAGGTTGAAAAGAATAGATAAATGAATATAAACATGGAATATTCATGCCTTGGATTAAATGATTTACCTGATGAAATTCTCATGATTATTTTCAAAAAACTGGACAATATTGAAGTACTTTATTCTGTACTAGGTGTCAATTAATGTCTAAATAAAATTGTTCATGATTTAATTTTTACAAGTAGTTTATTTTTTGTCAAACGGTTGTCACATCATTTTGTCGATGAAATGCGTAGTGATATGATATGTGGTCGATTTTGTTCAAAAATCTTACATGAAATTCATGATAAAATTGAATGGTTTCATCTTGAATCATCATATATGATACATGTTTTACATGCTGCTGATTATGCTAATTTATATGGTCTCGGTCTTTATAATATTAACGAAAACTTAGCTCAATACCTTCTCAGTGGTAAGAAATAATAATTGAATTATTTTTATTCTAAAATGAAATTATTTATCAAACTTATCAATCTAGAATCCTAGACCATGAAATATATTGCAATTATTTTCATAGCTTTTTTTTCTTACTAATATTGTATGCATATATTTAGATGAAATTCTTTCATTTGGTATTTTCAAAAATCAAATAACAAGACTTTTAATTACAATTAATAAAACGATAATTATTATGAGATGCTATTATCAGTGGCAAACATATATTATTACATCTTCACTGTTTTCACCCGTCTGACTCCTTTAGCATTATATGAACCATCGTATCAAAGTTGTGTTCGAGGGTGTGGGTGTGGGTTGAGTGTGGATGTGGGTGGGGTGGGATGTGGGTGTGTATTCTCTCCAACAACAACCACACACCGTACCGACACCCATACCCACCCATACTCGCACAAATCAGACATGATCACTTACATTAATACAGATTTTATCAAATCAATCATTACTAAAGCTTTTCTACGTTGTTCACATGTGCGCATATGTATTTGTCTGTTAGGTTGGATTCTTTTTTTTAAATCATATTCTCGTGTTTCGACGTTATCCAGGTCAAACAAGCACGGTCGTAAACGATCGTATACGAAGAAATACGACGATTTACATGAGGCCGTATTACGATCGTATATCTCCGTCACCGTATACGGAGAAATACAGTGATTTACGGAGAAAAATACTCTTGTTTATTGTCTTCGTATATGGAAGTCGTATACGATCTCCGTTTTGCTACATTTTTCGCTGTATACGATCGTATTTTCCGTATACGGTCACGGAGATATACGACCGTAATACGGCCACATGTTTTACGGAGAAATACGGTCGTTTACAATCGTATATGGCCTGCGTATTCGTCGATTTGGGTAAGTATTTTGAACTTTTTTAAATTCAGTTTCGATTTTCTTTTCTTTCCTCTTTCCTCTTTCCTTTTTCTTTTCGGTGTACTTTGCACGTTAACATGTGCGTAGTGAGTAAATTGATATGTACTTTTTTTTCATGGACAATCACTGCTTAATTTTCTACAATGTCGAAGTTTTGTTCAATAAAGAAGATAATAAACTTAAACGCAGGCATGCTGTTAAACGTTTGAGTAGATCATAACTTTTCAATAGATCCCATCAATTTCATCATTTGTAACCGAGAAAATAAATCCGAAATGTCTTCGAAGAACCGAAATCAAAGTGAAATTTATTTGCTTTTATTTCAATTTTTTAACTTAGCAAATAAAAAATGATAAGCCGATTCATTTGATTTATCTTCATATGGGAAATAAATGAATGAAAGAATAAAGCTAATGAATCTCATTGTTAGTCTCTTCTAAGCAAACTTTCTTCTAATATAAGCATTCTTCGCCAAAGAGAACAATACAGAGCTGGTTACAAAAAAATATGACCACCATTTTTGTTTCTTCTACTCCAAGATGTATAGTCTTATTTAGCCGAAACATCGTTCGACCAATGTAGAAGATGAAAGTCTAGGCATCGTGATGATTTTTGTTTTTATTTGAAACATGCTAGCCTTTGTTATTCTTTTCCTATTCATCTTCTTTATCTTTTCTTTCTCAGTCAATTGTGCTGAATTGTAATGGAATTGAATCAAAGCTGATGTGCATAACATCGATAGATCTTCGATTCTCGATTACCAACATCTTAATATATTGTTAATTTTGTGTCCTTCGCTTTTACTCTTATTATTCATTTCTCGCATTTTCGATGTTGATCACTGTTATGTTCTAACGCATCACACATTAGATTGTTTATCAAAATTACACACACATTACATGGGGGACGCTCTCTCAATATTCAGCACTAACCATTAATACGAATGATAACTGTTTGCACGAACCCACACACATACCATTCAATTAATAATCAAGGTAATCAACATATTATGGTCTCTCTCACTCTCCTTTTCAATGTCAAACTTTTATCAACAAGAATACTACCTACTTTACATGATATCGATAGGAATCTGTTCTGTAGTCAAAAAATACAGATGCATAACTGTTCTTTTTCATTTTTCCTATGTATTTGTGAATAAAAGTTAAGAAGAGAACAGAGAAAAGTATCTACTCATAAAATAGGTGCCTGATTGTCACTGTCTTCGTCACGGACTAGGAATCAGTCATGTGTCAATACAGATGTGTTTACTATTTCTTTTTTTGACCGTCGTCTTTTGCAAACAAAAAATATCATTTATACTTGCTATATTGTTCTATTTGTTTTTCTTGGTTTTTCCTTTCTTTTTCGCCGTATGCCTTCTGAATTAGAGATCAAAGGCTAGTTGGTAATCAAATTTTTATTAAAAACTAATAATTGCACTACAAGAATGGAAAAAAATAATAAAAAAATTGAAATATATGAATATTAGGTAAAAGGAATGGATTAGAAAAAAAGACGAACTAAAGTTAAAAAAAAGAAAATTATGTTCGAATGGTGTCCTTCGAGAGCTCTTGATCAATGCAATGCCACCGGTTTGAGTTTGGGTTGTCTAGAAAAAAATAATATATTTATTAAGTTTCTAGTAAAAATTTGATACATATTTAACTTACTGGTTTAGCTCTTAAGGCACCACTCACATATATGTCTGACGTAGGAAAAAAGTATCAGATCTTTAACTTGATGCTATTCCACGTAACAAATCAACACAGTCGAATACGACTTTCATCATTTTTTTCATTGTATTCGATGCACAGCGTTGACATTGATACCGTAAATCAGAATCGTATAAGACATGAATAGTACCAAGCAAGAACTCGTACAACTATTTCTCTACTTTAATAGCGAAACTATGGAGTACACAGTGAACATATATTCCATTACTCGCAAATACTACGCATCACTGATTTATTCATCTATATTCAGTATTGCGATGCAAAAAAATAGCTTAACAATTTTCCTCCAAGACCACATGGCATGTGAACTCTAGCTACGAAGACTCAACTCCCCTATTACATTGATTTCCGACTCAACCTTTGGCCAAGACAATTTGTATCGCAGATTACATACCAAACGAATTTAAGCAACGATACTCTCAATCACCTATTCCAAGATATCCACCAGAACGGATCAACTTCGCGTTATTACCCGATGTCACAAGTTCCATAAATTGAACACACGAAGGATTCATTTAACTATTTTATCCGTTTGCCGAACAAGTTATGTCATCAATACTTTAGTCTAACACCATACAGCACACGAAGACTACCCACGAAAACGCTGTTCATCTCCTTGATTCACTTCCAAGTGATAGAGCGCCATTGAATCTATAAGTGAAGATTGTATGGCCAATGAACACTATTTACCAGTATTCGATTCATTTCTTTGATTCACTTCGAAGTAGTATAACAACATTGAAGCTATCAGCAAAATTCGTATGGCCAATGAACACTATTTACCAAGATTCTATTCATCTCTTGAATTCGTTTCGAAGTGGTACAATGATGTTAAACATATAAGTAAAGATCATATGGAAAATGAACAATATGAACAAACATTCTATTTATCTATTTGACTCACTTCAAAGTGCTTTAACAATGTTGAATCTATAAGCAAAGATTGTATTGAAAATGGACACTATGCAGAAGGATTCTATTCATCTTTTTGATTCGCTTCGAAGTGGTAGAATCATGTTAAACCTGAGAGTGAAGATCGTATGACAAATGAAAATTATTCACAAAGATTCTATTCATCTGTGTGATTTGCTTCAAAGTGGTAGAGCAATATTAAACCTATGAGTAAGGATTGTTTGGCAAATGAACACTATTTAGAAGAATTCTATTCATCTCTCTGATTCACTTCGAAGCGGTAGAGCAATCCTAAACCTATGAGTAAAGATCGTATGACCAACGAACACTATTTAGGAGAATTCTATTCATCTCTCTGATTCGCTGCGAAGTGGTAGAGCAATCCTAAACCTATGAGCAAAGATCATATGACAATTGAACAGTATTCACAAACATTCTATTCAATTCTTTGATTTGCTTCAAAGTACTATAACAACCTTTAAGCTATTAGTAATAGTCGTATGGCAAATGAACACTATTCACCAGTATTCGATTCATTTCTTTGATTCACTTCGAAGTAGTATAACAACATTGAAGCTATCAGTAAAATTCATATGACAAATGAACACTATTCAGCAGTATTCGATTCATTTCTTTGATTCGCATCGAAGTGACAGAAAGATGTTCAACCTATGAGTAAAGATCACATGACAAATTAACATTATTCAGCAGGATTTAATTCATCTGTTTGATTTGCTTCAAAGTTCTGTAACAATATTGAAGCTATCAATAAAATTCGTAAGATAAATGAACACTATTCACCAGTATTCGATTCATTTCTTTGATTTGCATCGAAGTGACAGAAAGATGTTCAACCTATGAGTAAAGATCACATGACAAATAAACATTATTCATAAAGATTAAATTCATCTCTTTGACTCGCTTTGAAGTCGTTGGATGATGTTGAACCTATTAGCAAAGATCGTATGGCAAATGAACACTATGCAGTAGGACTCTATCCATCTCTTTGATTTGCATCGAATTGGCAGGACGATGTTGAACCTATAAGCAAAGATCGTATGGAAAGTGAACCCTATGCACGAGAATTCTATTCATCTCTTTGATTCGCTTCGAAGTGCTAGAATAATTGTGAACCTATGAGTCAAGATTGTTTGCCAAACGAAGACTATTCACAAAGGTTCTCTTCATCTTTTTGATTCGCTTCGAAGTGTTAGATCGTCATCGAATCTTTGAGTAAAGATCGTATGATAAATGAACACTATTCACAAAGATCCTATTCATCTCTTGGGTTCGTTTCGAAGTGGTAGAGTGATGCTAAACCTATAAGCAATGACCATAAAGCAAATGAAAACTATACACCAGGAATCTAATGATTTATTGTATTCGTTTCGAAGTAATAGAGCGATGTTGAACCTATAAGTAAAGATGGTACAGGAAATGAACACTATGCATCAGGATTCTATTCATATATTGTATTCGTTTCGAAGTGGTAAAATAATACCGAATCTATGAGGAAAAAGCTTATGGGAAACGGACAGTATTCACAAAGGCTCTGTTCATCTTTTTGATTCGCTTCGAATCGGTAGAATGAAGTCGAGCCTAAAAGAAAACATCGTAAGGAAGCTAAACATTTATGACCAAACCTCAATGCTTCTTTATTGTGGATTGTATTGTATAGTGCAGGAGTACTGAGATACTAAGCGTTTCGCGACGAAAATGAATCATCTGCACGTTTGTCCATCAATAACTCTAGGACTTGACGGAGAGTAAGCTCTCGTTCTGCAAGACGGTCATCCATGTTGTCATTGTCGTCGAAAGCGTGCATAGAGGACCTAGCAGCAGCACAGATCACCAAAGCAAGGAGAAAAAATATTGTTGGCTTCATTGTGTATACTGCAGTGGAGTGATCGACTACTGATTCGGCGTTGATATGAAAGGTAGTATGTAATTTAATGTATGATGATGATTGTGATGTATTTGCT